AAGCAGCAGGTGATGAGGTTAGAGAAGTAAGGGGAGAGAGCAGACCCTTTAGAGTCTTGTGGGCTATTGTAGGTACTTTGGCTTTTACCGTGATGACAGGAAACCAGCAGAGGGTTTCAAACAAGGTAGTAAATAGGATCTAATTTAACGAGATCACTGGCTGCTGGGCTGAGAGGAGCAAGGGGCAGGTGTAGAAGGGGAGAGATCACTTAGGAGGCCACTGCAGTCATCCCCGAAATTAATCATACCAGAAATAAGTCAGAAATGTTTGATGTGTTTACAAAAAGGGAAGAAAATATACTTGTAGAATATTAAAAAAAAAGGTAGGGAAGCAATTATTTTTTGAATAATTGTTTCGAAAAAGACCAATTTGGCTACTTTGCTACCGCGTCTTTTCCAGCTACAGTGGGCTTGGAAGCCCTGGGGAGCTAAGTCTCCAGAATTTTTTGCTCTCGAGCAACCTACGAACCTATCAGAGTTTGGTCTGTGTGATTAAGAATGAGCCTTTCTGGGTCTGCTTAGGATGTCTGCCTCCTCCTATTTCTAAACTTGCCTGGGTACCTATTAGAAATGCAGATTCTGGGCCCTTCCCATTCTGCAGGTATGGGATGAAGTCCAAGGAATATATACTTTTACCAAAACGATGTGAAAATTCTTTTGACTAGGAAGTTTGGGAAACTGTCCCTGTAATCTTCCCACTCTTAACTCCAGCACACCTTTTGGGGTTTGCGGCGGATCGGGAAAGCGTTGAAGGACGCCTGTGCAGCCGGCAGGTGGCGCCACCTGACCGCTAGCCGCCGAGGGCGCGCGTCCCCTACGGAGAAGCAAGATGCACTGAGAGAGAGGATCCGCGGCGGTGCCGGGGCCACCCCGCCACCGTTTGCCCCGGCGGAAGGGCGCGCACGAGTAGTGGTGTGGGAGGCAATGGCCGGTACCCCGGCTTCTTTTTACGCTGTGTGCATCTTAAGCCGTCCCTAGTCTGTTTCTCGGGCAGCCCTTCCTGCACCGGCATTGAGCCTGGGCAACCAGTAAGGCTGTGCAGCGAGATCGGGCCGCCTCACGCCACAGGGAATTAGCTCAACCTGGCCAAGCCAGGCACCGGGATCTACTACAGAGCCCCCTTGGGAAGCGCCAAACCCGCGGACGGCTCCTTTCCATTGGTAGCCGGACGGGAGGCCCCGCCCCCTTCCCAACAGCTCTCATTTCTGACTGGCTTTCGGGTCCCAGCTGGCCACGCCTCCTTCCCTCGCACATACACAAGAGTCACGCGCCTTTCAGTTGGAAACTTGGCGTGCTGAGGAGGACGCTGGCTCTCAACTCCCCACCCACTTACCTTGCCATTGGTCCGCAGCGCCGCGCATAGCCACGCCCCCATTCCAGCCCCCTGGCTGGGAGGGCGGGCACCCGGTTGTGATTGGCTGGCCGGCCTGCCTCTCCCGGGATCGGCGGGCGCTCTCCTCCCTCTCCCTTCCCCCCTCCCGCGAGCCTTGGGGTTCCTCAGCTGGCCTGGGCGAGTCAGTGTCAGTCAGGGAGACGGACTGCAGAGCACTGCGCACGGACGC